GTCCCTCGGGAACGGAGACCTCGCGGTGCTCCGCCCGAAATTTTCGGGAAGTAACAGTTCCTTCACGTTTCTCGCGTCCGCCGAGGCCGTCGACGTGCCCCATGAAAGTGGACCACGGATTTGTGGCTCCTTTTTGTCTCTGCTCGCGAGTCAATTGATCGTTAACCCTGAATTCGTGATCCCGTGGATCACTCTGGGACCCTGTGACGCTTTTCGACACGTTGACTCGTGGATCTCGAACGTTTCGTACATCAGTCGTTTAAAGTCAATGTTCAGTCGATTTTTCAATGTTTTTTGATCTTTCTACGTTTTAACACGTCGAATGCCGCACGATTTCATGGTGCAAAGTACTTGAAATGGGAAAAGTATGATATTAAATCATTTGATTGAATTGCATTGTTATTGATACAGGTCTAGCTGAATGTCACCATTAATGTTAACTTTATTTATAGTATAGAAATGTTTTCAAATAATCACGGTTTAATCGAGTGAACTGTAGTAATTCGATTTGTTTCGTAGTTACTGTAAGAAGCATGATTTATTGAACTAGATCCCGGAATAATTCGACTACTTAGGTTCACTCCATGGATTCGAAGGGTTGCACTAGACATTGGTCAACTTGGATTATTGAAAATGTATTTATTTATAAATGTTATCTATAAATCGTAGTTCACTTTAGACCAAGAAATTGAGATCTAAGTTTCAGGCGTCTCTAGGTGCGTGTTAAAACTCTCGTATTACAAATAAACAAACTAAAAAGTGAGAAATCGATTCGTCCAGAGTCACGTGGTGAACGCCGCCCGAAACACTCGTGTGAAACTGGCGAAACTGTACGCGAAGACGACCAGTCTTCGTCGAAGTAAGAAAAATTCGATGCCGAGAGGCGAAGAGCCAGACGAAGAAGCATCAGAAGAAGAAGAAGAAGAAGAAGAAGAAGAAGTTCACGAAGGACAGGACAGTTCGGGAGTAAGGCGACTGGATGTTGTTGGTCGCAGATAAAAGGGAACTGCAGCGGGGCGACTGGCGGCTTAGCATGACAATGCAGGTGCCTCATCCCACGTCAAAACCCAGCGTGGCGCCACGACAAGATAGGGTACCAGACCGATCGACTGGTTTGTAATTGTTTAAGAGGATTAGCCCACGGAACGAAAGTTTACGCGTGTCCGGCGCTCGGGGGTGGCGCGGCACGGCGCGGCGAGGCGCGGGGCCGCTGATATTTATCCCGGCATTAGACTCGGCTAAACTCGAATTTACCACCGATGATCCCGGGAAATTCCATTAAAACTCCGCTCGGAGTGTTTGGACGAGAAATCACACGGCTCATCGGCCGACAATCGCGCGACCCGGCTTTAAACCCGTAATCTCTGGCTTTTAAAGGGCTCCCGGATCTCCGAGGAAATCCGTATCGATCCGATGTCGCGCTGGATCCGTGGCTTGCCGAACGGAAGATGGATTCCGTGTGAAATTCGGCGGTTGCTCTATTTTCAGAGAGCAACGCCGTTTCGATGGACATCTTTCGAGGAAGGTGTTAGAAAGATGAAGAAAGGGGAACGAATGTGAAATTGATTTAGTGAATTTTCAGATTTTATAGCGATCAATGATTGTCCATCTAATGGAGTGGAGAGGTAAGATGATAAAGGTGAAATGATAAATGCGTCGGTTTTGTGGAAACTTGGAAACCGTCTGGTTATAAATGCTTTTATTATACCGATCAGTTTCAGTTTTTACGCTGGTACGTTGGAACTGGTTAACCAAAGGACGGTGTTTTATACGCCGTTTTTCCGCCAGTAAAATTTTTCAACGCAGAAGCAACAAGAAACGTAACCGTGAATTTTATTGCGGGAACGCCGATCGTAAATATTCAAGTTGAACTTCATCGCGGCCGGAGCGGTTTGCATTTAGTATCCTTCCACTGTGTCGCGTTCGCGCGGATCAAATTAATTAAAAGATCGAGGCGTAAAGCAGCTCTAAAACAAACGAGACCGCTGCGTTCCATTTAAATCAATAAGAGTTACATATCAATAAAATCCGCGGAAGATCGGACGCGCGTTTAAAGTGGAACGCTCTGTACAAAACGATCTACTAATCAAGCCTCGAACAATCTTCAACGGAATGAAAGCGACGAACGTATCCAAGTATACTTCGATACCAACCAATTGGTTCACAATTAACACTAGAACTACCGTACCAGTCAAAATGACTGGTTTCGATTTGTTTGCTTCGCAGCTAATACCTTAAAAGCATCGAATACTAGAAATGATTTTGGAAATAGTTTCACTTGAGTACTATGATGAATATCCAAAGAAACTGAAAATAATCTATCGTTACAATTTTTATAGAGATTACATATCAATCGTATTAAATGCTCGGTAGTTCTAGTGTTAACCATCATTTCCCTGGCAACGAAACGAAGTTCGAAGTTAATGCCAAAAGTCTCGAGCGACGGTCAACAGCGTGGAAACACATCGGTGAAACCGGAGCAACACGGTGGAAAGGTATCTTGCAATTAGTACCCATTGGCTCGGCGCCAATTAGCAACTTTATCGTGCGGCGCAGAAGGGACGTAACGAATATCGACGAATCAAAGGAGCGAAAGGGACGGACGCAGGCCGGTGCCCGGTCCCGCGGCGATGCACGGGCGCGTTCAGGTGAAAAAGATCGGCCGACAGTGAGAATCAGAACTATGAGAACGTCATGGAAGTTCGATCAAGATGAAGATTTCCTGATCTGATGCCCGGCCCGGCGCGGAACGGATGTCGCGGGTGGCCGCAGGTGGCGCCCTCGATATAAGCTCATCTGACTGAACCGCTGATACGGGACCGCTCTCCTAAAACTTTCACGGCGGAATGTGTCATCCTGTCACTGAACCCACATGGGGTACCAGACGTCCCATGGGCCCGTCACGCGTCCTTCGCCGAGGAACTCTTCCTCCCCGTCCGTTCCCTGGGATCCTGGTCCTCCGCTAGACCGGTCGCTACCACGCGCGCCGCCCTTACGTAACGCTCGACCAATTTCTTGCAACTTTGCCACGATGACAGTTGCTCGATACCTGGCAAATTGCTGCGTTACAGCAGCGAACGACTGAAGATTGCGTTTCAACAGCGGATACCTCATTGTTCTGTGAATACCGATCGCTTAGACTTTTACCAATTTCTGTATGAAAACCATAAGCATGCGTTTAAGACTTCAGTTGTACTAAGTTTCGTTAATTTTTAGTATAAGTATCCGTAGCTTCTCAGTAACTATAAAAGACATCAGAAATAAGTCACTCTGACCCACCTGGTAGTTCCAGTGTTAAGTACACGTTGAACACCTAGCAGGCTTAGAAATCTTTTACGTGTAACGCAATCCACTAGACTGTTCTATCCCCAGTTTCATTCTACGAGCCATCGAATCATTCGCTTCCCTATTCCACCGTCAGCCTCGAATTCCCAAACGGAGAAAACTCCAGCCCCCACCTTACGCCGGCCACTCCCAATTCCCGGTGCTCAAAACTTCACGAATCTCCGAGCAGCCGTCCGTTCACGAATCCTCCGCGGAGGGATATCCAGCTTTCGCGTCGCCTGGTCCAGTCCCTTTCGTAATTAACCCATCAGCCGTCACGGCTTAATGAAAGCGCGGGCACGACGTCGTCGGTGTCCGCGGACAGGTGGGACACGGCGTGTAAATACACAGAGTCGAGTCGCGCTGGAAAAAGGAGCAAGAAACCCGGCGTCGGAGGGGAGCCCCCAGGTCCTGGAAGGTGGGCACCGAGATATAATACCCGGCTACCAACCCCCGGCGCCGATAAGTGTCAACTGCACCGCGCCAGATAAAAAGGACCGAGCGAAAAAATAAAAATTCCCGGCCGGGTGATCCATCATGAGGCTACGGACGCCGGGCGCGCAGGCCCGCCGCGGATTGGCCGGCCCCGCCCAGGGTGGGTCACGTGGGAGAGGCGCACGGTCACGCCCAGCGCGGCGGAGGCAGCGCCTTTCCCCGTCCGAGCGCGACGGTGCGCCCGCGGAGCGAGCGAGAGCGCGCGCCGGGAGCGACAGGGACGGCCGGTAGCTGGACACATCGAGACCCCCGCGACCCGGTCTCACCTGCGTGCGTGCAGGCCTTCGACCGTGCCGCCTTCTGGCACCGCCGGAGGAGTCCACCTAGCCAGTCCACTTCAGCGACCCTCGTCGACCGGATCGACGACCACGCGCGCGTCCGCCGCCGCTAACTTCGACCGTTTATCCCGGCGCCGAGAGTAACGGTCCGGTCCCGCGTCCACTGTCGCGACGCTGAGGTGCCTCGGGATTATTACTGGCGCCTGCGTCCGCGGAACACCTGGCGAACACTGGGACTGATAACGGGCCTGCCATCGGCACCGCGGAGGCCGCGAATCGGACAGTGACTCTGTTTGCTCGGGAACACGCCGGTGGTCGAGCGTTGCTCAACTAATCGTACGCGAAGGGATGGTTCTGGAGAGGTGTGCGTCGGTCTGTGATATCTGTGCTGCGTCTGTACATCGGCAAGTGCGTTGTTGACACTCTGTGGCAGGTTCCAGGGATGCAGGACTTGTCCGGTGTACGGTAATCACCTTGGATAGCCTGTCCAGATAGAACGAGAGAAAGAGGTGGTCGGCAGGTCGGGTGGCTAATTTGATGTATCCGTCTCACCGTTACGAGGATGATGATGATGGACATGGGCATGTACGGAACCTACGGCAAGCCTGACTCATACCCGAACTACGTGTGCACCGGCCAGGGGAATCATCATCATCATCAGCCCGTGTCCGTCGGGGGACACGTGCCCGTCCCGCCTTCGCCGGAGCTAGCTCCGGCTCATTACTTCCCTCAGACAGCGGTGTCCCCGTACTCCTCGTCTTCGTCGGAGAGCTTCCTCGCCGCGGAGTCCGCGGCGTCCTCCGGCACACCCCCGCAAGGATTCTACTCGCCGTCGGCCGGTGTCCTGCACGAGGATGGCACGACGACCGCGATCATCTCCTCGGAGAACGGCTTGAGCTACACGAACCTGGACTACGCGTCGTCGGCGGCGTACTCGAACCAGCCGCAACACACGAACGGCTCCCACGGATCGGTCGATCCTCACCAAAGCTACCATGTCCAGCAGGCTACCTACAGGGACGAGCACCATCACCATCATCATCATCATCCGCCGCCGCCGTCTTCCGGCAGCAATCTCCATCAGAGCTCGATGGTGCCCGGGCACACGAGGACGGAGCACGAGCTGCATCATCAGTCTTCTAGTCATCACCACCACCATCACCATCACCACGAACCCGACTACCAGATACCCGGGACCACGAACTATCTCCATCAGCTGCCTCCCACCGAAGAGTCCCTGCACTATCACCCGCAAATTCGGCAGAACGACTACTCTAGTCACTCCGGTGGCCACTACAAAGAGGAGAATCCCGACCCGACCGGCGGGTACCACGTGCTGCAGCAGTCGGGACACCCGCAGCATCAGCACGGGCATCATCATCAGCAGCACGCACACGGGCATCATCCTCAGCAGCAGCAGCAACAGCAGCAGCAACCGCACGTGCCCACGTACAAGTGGATGCAGGTGAAGAGGAACGTGCCCAAGCCCGTCGGTACGTAGATATCGGTTCGGGGTGTATTCCGCGCTGTTAACATTCCACCCCGCGCGAGTCGGCCACCGTGAAATTAGCATGCCGCGGGGGCGATCCGGTAGCCGCTCGTTAACTTCTGTTTAGCGCCCGCGATGCTAGGGACGCGCGTAGACGCGAACGTTTGCCGCGGAGATTGATATCTTAGGATGGATTGATGATCGATCGACGAACGATCCCTTCCGCGTGGAACGATCGAACTGGGTGATGGGTTCATTTCGATCCTCCGATGATTGAGTTGTTGCTGGCTTCGGGAGAGGGGTATGGTCTTTGAACTTCTCTTGTTCTCTCGGTCTGTCGCCGTCAAGTTCTAAGTTCGCGAATTGTTTACGCTCGGAGGAGTATATTTGCACGGTTTGCAAGTTATGCAATACACGTTGCTAAACGAATAGACAATTTAGATTTTGCTTTCTTCTCCAATTTATCAATAGCTTTTGTCGCTTTTGTATTTGAATTCTAAACGATCAAATATTCTGCGTCTCAGCTAGAAACAGTCTAGCTCCTCAGAAATCAGAAATCGGAATTTTCCCGTGAATTGTACCGCTGTTTCCCACAACAATCAGGCGAGAAGCGCAGTTGCCTCTAAATCTGCCCGATTATTTTCGCACGCCGGAGCCACGGTCGCCCCGCGTTCCCCTTTTTCCATAAATTTCCGAAGTCGGCCGGTCGGCGCCAGGAATACTCGGGATCGTAATTTGTCGCGTTGAAGTCGCGACACGACCCAATTGCCGCTCGTTGAGGACAGTTTACGCGAGCACCGGGCCCCGATCCGAAGTTCAGCGGTTTTCGCTTGGGTGGTGAATTCAATTAAGATTGACGGCCAACTGAAATGTGACGTTGCTACGGCCTCGCGAACGGCGGGCTCGCAGCACGCGTCTAACAAGATTAATAAAACGTGACACGTAATTCCGGTCCGCAGGATCCATTAATCCTGCACGTGCTCCTCCGGCGATCGAGGATCGCCGCGCGATCGGGACACCGTCCCCGTTCGCCGCCATCTTGTTTTATCGCCGGCCGAATCGCCGTCGCGACGGTAATGGCGGACGGTTTTCAAACATTTCGACGGAAAAGTTGTACCTTGAACTCGGGCTCGACGAATGATCCGAGAGTGACGCGCACGTAAGAACGATTAGCGACGATTGATAAAATCGATGATTATCGACGATCGAAGCGACCGACAACTGCGCGATGACTTACGACACCGCGGAAGCAGTTTAGATCTCCTGGCCTCCGTTTGTAATGACGATCAGGTAATAAGCTTCTCGGAATTCCCAGTAATCGAGAAACACCGTAGTAATCGTTGATGATTTATCGTCGAAAATACTTTCACTAGCAATCATAATCTAAATTACCAGTTCGATTATGCTCTAAATTACAAAGATTCGAACGGTTCCAATTTTTCTCATTAAAACTTTGTTCGCTCATTAATGAAATTTTAAACTTCAGTTGGAACCGTCCGATACAAGCGTTCGTGTCCTCGCGTAAACCCGTCCACGCTGATTAGCGAAGCGGCGGTAAAACCGCGGGAATAATGCGATTCGGGACATAAAGGGTTAACGTGTTCATTAAATTTCATCAACGTTTGATAAACCCACGTTACCGACGAACGTGTATCGACAAGCTTTACTTCAACATCGGCTCGTTGCATTATGCATTCGCGAATGGCACCGTTCGCGAATATTCTCCGAGCGGTTGCACGCCTTCGTTACGATAATGGGGGGACGTAAAACGGTAGCCGGGTGCGGAACAACAATGGGACAACGACGAACAACGGGATTCGGTGGCGTTCAGGTGCAAAGGACAACGGGGAACGAATGCCGGAGCCGGACGAAAATTACGATTCCGTACAGTGGCCGCGATAACGAGCTTTTCACGAGATAGAACGCGTATTTATCGGTGTTTATACTGTCCCCGGTGAGTTGTTTAGCTTCTATTTACGCCTATGCGACAGTCGTAAACGCGACCGATAAGATTATGCACACGAAACCAGTGTAACGGAAGATACACGGGGGTTTTACGAGAATATCGTACGGGGGCGGCCATAAATCAAGCCGGCCCGCAAACCGCTGCGCCGGTTTTATCTTTTGCCCGCGAACGGCTCGATTACTCCGCCGGGATAGCCATTCCGGAAATATTTCAATTCGAATCGAACACTCGACTGGAATTCCGTTCGAGCCGCGTTATCGCTCGGAAGCTGTGTTATCACGCCGTTTCACGCTCGGCGGCGTTGTTCCTTCGTACAGCTGATTTCTGAATTTCTCGGTTAATCGAGTATCATTGCTGGGAAGGTGAAAGTTGTTTAGATGTATTGTTCATCGAAGTTATCGTGGCAATATCGAATTCATCTGTTAGAAGACTGTACATTGATCTTTGAGAGATCTACAAAGAAACTCACTAGTTTCTTTATCTTATTAACGATGTTATCTCAATGATTCCTACTTTCGAAATTATAATGAAGTATGCAATATTCAACTATAACTTTCTATTCATCTCGGAACAGACTATAGATAATTGACAAAAAGTCTCGGTCATCTATTTCCCTGAATAGAACGCCGAACGATGTAACGAGGATTTAATTGGAAGAAAGTATCCGTGAAATCCGACGAACGAATCGATTCGTAAAACCGATTTTTCGGACACGACGATCCGAGCAACGTTAGGCGGAATTTTAACGCGCGACATTCTAAGCAGGATTAAAGGCGCGCCGTTTCCTCGGTCGTCGAGCCGTTTTCTCGAATCGTTTCAGATCGTAGGCGCCACGGGAGTTTTTTTCGTAATTAAATGTGCGATCGAAATTCCACGGGTATAAACCACGGCCGGCCGTTTCGTTCGTTTCCCCGTGGAAAAGCGGTATCTTGTTATCCGTTCCGTGCATTAGCATCGCGCTCCGAGATAGCGGATGCAAATTTCGCCGGCAACGCCACCGCGAGCGAGTAGTTCGGCCGTTGTCATTCTGATTGTATAAGACGTCTCGACACTCGGTACAAGATGTTTCAAATTTACCGATGCAAATTGAATCGACCGATCAGCGCGGGAAAAAGATCCCGATAACACGGCCCGCGGAATAAGCGGTAATTGAGCAATCACCGAGGGAATTTCATTAGAGAAATGTTCTATGCTTCGGTAACTCCAAAATGGCGGAGGGTGCGCCGCAAAGATCGCGATGAAGAAGTTGATTGGCCGGTGGACATCGAAGGAAGGGAATCGAATTTATTCGCAGATCGACGATCGGGTTTTAATTTTCATTGTTATCGTTTTGTATTTTTTTAAGGTTCTAGAAAGTGGAAATTCGGAAATTCGACAGTGTTTACTATGTTGAATGTGTAATTCAATTTTCTATTTTATTTTTACTGTTTTTTATGTTTTAAATTGATTACGGAGATTGCACTTGTGAGTTAATGATTAGATTTTTTTGTTTCTGACGAGGAATCATTGTTTACAAATACAAAGAAAGATTGGAGAGAAAAAAGGCAACGCTCGCGACGTTCCGGCAGCGTTTATCGCGAGCTGATCGGAATCAATGGCAGTTAACGACGATATCGGTAAGCCCCGATAAGATTCGAGCTTAAGAACGAAATTTCTGCACTCGAGTTATCAGATTATTTCGGGAGACTCGACGCGATAACTGATAACGCGCCTTTGAGCTTTAATTGAATGGCGATGTACCTTTCTCAATCAACCCGGGACTTAATAAACTTTCGACTGAAAATAACGTACAGGTAATATTGATAAGAAACATTCATGTTCATTGATGCAAGAATTCTAATGCAAATATTATGAAAAACGTGAACGTTGGATGATCGTATGTTGTCCATAATCATATCATCTCTATGAAAGAGGCTTGAGAGAGATATGAATATTTATAAACCAGTAAACAATAAAGTATGAAGGTATAGAAACTTTTGAACAACCAGTCCAAACAATGGATTATGAAATTATGAAATTATGGAATTATGAAATTATGGAATTATGAAATTATGAAATTATGGAATTATGGAATTATGGAATTATGGAATTATGGAATTATGGAATTATGGAATTATGGAATTATGGAATTATGGAATTATGAAATTATGAAGTTATTAAATTATGGAATTATGAAGTTATGAAGTTATTAAATTATGAAATTATGAAGTTATGAAGTTATGAAGTTATGAAGTTATGAAGTTATGAAGTTATGAAGTTATGAAGTTATTAAATTATGAAATTATGAAGTTATGAAATTATGAAATTATGAAGTTATGAAGTTATGAAGTTATGAAGTTATTAAATTATAAAATTATGAAATTATGAAGTCGCGAAGTTACGAAGGCATGAAATTACAACATTATAAAATTATAAAATGCAAATCGCTGAAAAACGACGTAAACCAATGGAATGGCTAAACAAATGTAGTCGAACGTGGACAGAAACATTAACTACCAGCGACAAGATAAAACCGTGAGTAATAGCTCTACCCGACGAACATTTAAGAAACGAAATAATCGAGGCACACCAATAAATTTCCCGTCGTTTATACGAAGCACCGTTGAAATACCTCTGAACGCGTTAAATTAGAATTACATATTTGAAGCGGGCAATCGTTATCGATTAGCATACGTGTAAATACATGCTTAAGTATCGCGCGGGTATCTCTTTAGAAGTGACGTGCGGCGGAACACTCGAGGCAGGAAAACACGGGGAAAAAACGGACTGTAACAAGATGAAAACATAATTTTTATCAAATGTGAAGCATACGTAGATCGATGTATCGAGTCCAATCTACGAATCGTTAAAAACTTCATGAATAGGCAAGGCTCGCGCTAATCCCAGCACTTTTAACCTCTTGCGCTGGAAAACTGTATCACTCGCGGCGACATGTTTTTATTCCAAAATCACGCCTAATCAATTCTAATCAATTCGAAATCGATCTAGCATCGATACGCTAGGTTCTTTCGAAATGTATTGTATACAAAATTATTAAC